TGAGTTTCCACCTCTGCTTGCATTACTCATCTGTTTGGGATGTTGTCTACTCTTTCTGTTAGAGCACTTAGTATATGAGTCATAGTTTAAAATTTTGAGTCTAATTCTGACATTTCTGTTGGGTCTGGTTCTGATGCTTGCTCTACCTCTTTGTCTTTTAGTAAACCTTGTAATATTTTTCTTAAAACCCAGACATCATGTACTAGATAAAAGGAACAGAGGTAAATAGGCCTTTAGTGTGAAATTTATATTTGACTGCCTAGGGATTAGACTGTGTTTACTGATTACAGTAGCTATAAGTGTCAGAGACTAAAATGTCCTCAGAAGTCCTTACTTTTGTCTCCCTGTTGTCTTTGGGGTTCCTTACAGATGTCATCTTAAATAAGGTCTGAGACATGTAGTTCTTTGAGTTATAATCTCCTGTTATTTATTATATAGGAGTCCTCCGGATGTGGTGGTAAGGTTTAGGGGGAGGGGGAAGTGTTCTATAGTCCTATATTTGGGTCTCAGTCTTTTAGTGAGCCAGTGCTCCTAAACTAGGACCTTTAAAAGTACTTCTCAACATCCTTCCCCCTTATGTGAGACTGGAAGGCTGGAGTTGGGTATTACCCCTCTCTTGGGTTGGGTAGATTTGTTAAAACTGCAACTGGTGTTTGGCTCTGGTGAAATAGTTTCTCTTGAAGGCAGGCCTTGCTAAGAACTAAATACTCTAGGCTTATTTCAAAATGGCTACCAGAATCTTGAGAGGATTTTTCTCTGATGTAAGGCCATAAGTATGTCCCCATGGCCTCAGTTTCTCATTTTTCTTCTAGTCTCTTAGTTTCCATGTTAACCCTGCTTTGGCAGGGTGACATGCCCCAAGCTTTAGATTTTTTTTTCCAAACTGCTTTGAACATAGAAATCTTTCTTATTTCTTGAACTTTAGAATAGTAGGGGAAAAATAAGTCATTTATTTTAAATTACAACAAAATAACGGCAAACTGTTAAACCTTTTAAGCCTAATTTGCAACAGATTAGGTAGAACTGAATTTCACATTTATTTACTTGATAATGATAAGCATTGTCCCTAAATTTTGGTAGTTGTGATTTGACTAGGAAACTAGTTAATAGTTTCTTTATAGCATATGAGAATTACCGATAACTTCAGGGGGTCATTTGGAATTATATTTGCTCAGGAGGAGGGTATAGCTCAGTGGTTTAGTGCGTGCTTAACATGCATGAGGTCCTGGATTCAATCCCCAGTACCTCCTTTAAAAATAAATAAACCTAGTTACTCCTCCCCCCCTAAAAAAAAAAAGAGACCAAAAAAAATTCTGTTTACTTCTCTGAAATTTGGATTTGAATTGTATTTTAGAAAACCTTTTCCAGAATAAATAGGAGAGGCTAATCTGATACATTATCCCTTTTTTAAAAGTACACTGTTTGCTTTAGGTAGAAGTGTTTTGCTCCAACATCATTATCAAAAGTCAACATATTACAGTGTTAAATGGCTAATATACATTCAGCATTTACTGTTTGACAGGCATTAGTTGTGTATTATTTAAATTCCCCAGTGAATTGTAAGTGGTAGGTACTATTATAATCCCCAGTTGACTGAGGCTGAAACTGAGGTAGAGTGGTTGGTTAACTTTCCCAAGGTCACATAGCTAGTAAGTTTTGTTTTATTATTATTTTTTTATTTATTCATTTATTTTTAGAGGAGGTACTGGGGATTGAACCCAGGACCCTGTACATGCTCAGCATGCACTCTGCTGCTTGAGCTATACCCTCCCACCATAGCTAGTAAGTTTTAAGCAGGTTAAACAACAATAGCTTATACTTAGTGCTTTTATGATAAAATCTTTCCATTTTTAGTTTTTTCCACAAGAATGTAAGCTCCAAGTGGGCAGGGATGTATTTTTGTCACTTAATTGTTTCACTGACACTTGAGATTGCTTTCTGGCATTTAGTAGACCCAGGAATTATTTGAAAGAATTTTGTGATGATGATGTCAATTCACCAAGAGACTTGGCCTTAAGATTCTACTAGAATTGCTTTAAATTCTGCACTGTTGCTAATTAACGATGACGTTCATTTATTTACCACTTCCAGATTAACTTCAGCATTGTGTACTGTTCTGCATAGTTTATTATGTATATCTTAATAAAATAGTTTATTTTAAAATTGTTTACTAGGAGTGGTAGCTTCTGTTCATCTCTTTTTCTTTTATGTGTTGGAAATGCATTGGAGCCACAAGGGAACATCAGAAAAATCAAGACTACAAGAGGTCCCACTGTTGTGTTTAGATGAGTTGGGAGAAGAAAGTATAGAAAAGCAACTAACTTCCCAGCTGTCCTCAAAAAATGTAATACAGTGAAAACAATTCTTCAGGGTTTTATCCAAAAGCCTCAGTCTCCCTGGTTGTTGCAGTCATTAAAATTGAAAGCACATTGTTTTATTTATTTTTAGAAATTACATTTCTGTTCTTAGTTTGAAAACAAACCTGTGAGATAAATCTTATAAAAATAGGCCTTTGAAATAAAAGATTTTTGTAATTAATTTCGTTAGGGGGAGGGTAACTATGCTACTTCTATTCAGGAAATTTTCCTTTAATTCTAAGTTGTATTCTCATTTTATGGTAATAAAATTGAGAGTTAGAAGGTAAGTTACTTACTTGAATTAACACTGCAAGTAAGTGGCAGAATTAGGAATCACCTTACGTTTCTCTACTCCAAAGGCTTTTCTAACAATCTGTCATTTTGCGTTGTTTTCCATGTTTTCCTTACAGTTTTTGAGTCTTAGGTGAGATTTTTAAATTAGTTTGTGTGGGCAGTGGGATTGGAGTTTTGGATTGTGGAATTACTGAATGTTTGAATTTAAGTATGTATGTAATAAATGATCATTGTTGCATGATGGAAAGAAAAACTGAAAAATCTTTGTCTTTAACTTTCTATTTTCTTTTTATCTTTGGTTATCTGTAGATAAAGACCCTACTCTAGAGCACAGACTATTTCTTTATAATGGGATTTATAATGGTGATTGTGTATTGAACTGATTTAGTAATTTTTTCATATACAAATAGTGTTCTTTCTCTAGAGTAAAAAAAAAAAGAACCCATCTTTTTCTGAATTATAAGTTGGAGGGAATGAGAACAGAAATAAAGACAGAGGTATAAAAATTAATAATTATTTACTTAGCATTTTACTAACCAGACAGTTGGAGGCAAATCTAGAAGGCAGCTTTTCTAGTTTGTTACCTCCTACTACACTCCTCCAAACTTTAGTCTAATTGTAGTCCTGTAGTATCCTGCCGTTTTAGGGTTATTTACTACTTTGGGGGAAAGGAGTATTACGGGAATTATAGAGAACTTTGAAAGCACTGATGATTTCCTGGATTTGATTATGCTTGTTGTTTCTCTAAGAAATCTTAGGGGAGAAATAGAGGTCTGTAGTTACACTTTCGGCTTCTTAAAATGGTCAGTGAAAATCTGATGCCTCTGATTTCCATTGTAACGTTATTCATTCCTGTGCATACTGAACAGAATATTTTACTGTTACTAAAATTGTACATTTCATCCTCTACTGTATATACCAAGAACGATAATGAACGATTTTGGGGGGCACAAGAAGAAGTTCCCATTATGTGTAATTATAATTAAGTTTAATATGGGGGTAAAATTATCTTCAGAAAAAATATGAAAATTTAATCCCAAGTGTAAAAAACGGTTATGAGATAAACAGTACTAATTAACGTACATAAAGTAAGTTTTTTAATCTCATGATTTTATTAAAAGATAGGAGTCATGAAATCTTTAAAGGTTGGGTTTTAAGTTATATATTTTTTCTGTACTTAACATTTTGTACTAAACTATTTAACACAGAAAAAGTGAAAATGTTATCTTCTCTGGGAGTAGGGGGAGGAAGTCAACCTTAAAACATTAATTCTTACACTGTCATCCAGTAGACAAGTTTAAGAAGGTATGTTCAAAAGCAAAAATTGTCTTGAAATCTTGTGAGGCTTTCTTCCCTAAGAGTAGATGTGTCACTTGTTAAAAACATGGAATCCTAACCAAAAAAGGAAAACATAACTTGTATATTAAGAATTTATGTTTTAAAAAACTGAGAAAAGGGAAGATCACTGTATTAGGTGAACAGACCAATAAGATACTGGTATAGGTTACAAAATGTAAGTGGAGAGCCCATTTGCAAACAGGTGCTTGTGCACATTAATGTGAATCCCACTGGAGGGTTTTCTGAATCGTGATCACCGTTTACTATAAGAATGGATTATGACAGGATTATTGAGAGATTGAAGTGATAACTATAGATATGAAATTACTTTGAGAAGTGTAAAGTACAAAATAAATAGATGTAGATAAACTTAATATAAAAATCTATTTTGAAAAGTAGGTAGTTGCCATTGAGGTAAACTAAGCAGAAAAACAGATCGAGGAAGGCATTAGAGGATTCAGTGAGGCATTTAGGCTTCAGGAATTTTTGTGGAAAAGGAAATTTATTAGATCCTTAGAGCTTTCATCATCCTAGTTGATGGTGTAGTATTTCAGTTAACTTCAGCATCTAGAAATTCAAGTGAGAGGTTATAGGCTAAATGACTTTTAATGAATTTTTTGTTCATATGACTAGAACCCATGTAGCTTGGGGATATCGTATCACAGCGTTCATTTACAGATGAGTAGAACTATCACTTTGGACCTAACACACATGAAGTTGGCAAATATAAAATAAGTGCTATTTTTCTCTAAACATTCTTATGAAGTCAACAAGATGATGTACTTTTGTTCAAAGTGGTTGTCATTAAAAACATTGAAGTTAAAATTTGTTACTATTTTTGTTTCAAATATTCTTAAAACTGGCTGAGTTCTAGAAAAGCACAGACTTATTTTTGCTAGAGCAGATAAGCTTATGGAAGAGGGGGTTTCAAATTTTTTTTATAGGTAATACTTTAAAATAGGCTCTTTTCTTGCTGATATAACTAACATTTATTTTCTGTTTATTTTTAAGACGAGCAAAAATCAAATTAAAGTAGATCTTGTAGATGAGAATTTTACAGAATTAAGAGGAGAAATAGCAGGACCTCCAGACACACCATATGAAGGCAAGTACTTTTTTCTGTATCAAAATATTGTGTGTATTAGAACTTGTCTGAAACATTAAATCAGAATAATCTTAACCATCTATAAACTATATGGAAGATAATTTTATTTGGCTTAAAGATATATATAACAATTTTTAAATAAATTTAAATGCTTATGTATACTGATTTTTCTTACTGAATTTTAGCTAATTTTTTCCCCAAAACAGATTTAGTAGAGCCAGTTTCCAGGTTATATTAAGTTAGAATTTAACAGTGCAAAATGTCTAGGATGTTAAGTCTTTAACTTATATGGACTACAGACTCTCAGTTACCCTTCATATGGTATCTATAACAAACCTTGCCTTAAATTTCTGAGTGATGAGATGTTTATTTATTTTCTCTATAAATGTATTTATTCTGGATATTTCACATGAAGAAAATTTTATTTTTTTAAAAAAACTCCTCTCCCCTCTTTGTCATTTAGCATTTCATTTCACTCATGTCTTCATACAGTCTGTATTCCAAATACTTAATTTTCTTTATTTGGGAAAGCTTTGATCATTTCAAGAACTATAGAAAAGGGGACTACTTTGCTGAACTTTATGTTCACAAACTTAAGTCTATAGCTACTTTAGTCTATGGAATTGGGTGGTAAGATACAGAAAGAAGCTTTATAGCTTGTTATTCCCTGTATTAGGCAAATCTTCAGTAATGACTATTGTAAATACGGGTTATATAACGTAGCCAAAGTAGCTTGTATATAATAGGCATTCCAGTATTTGTGTAAAAGAAATCATATAATCTGTGGTAGTAGCACTTATTTTTACTTACTAGAGCTTCACATGTTTTCTCATTTAATCCTTATAACAATTTTATGGGGTAAGTATAGTTATCACTGTATCATAGATGAATAAACTAAACTCAGGGAAGTTAAGTAACTTGTCAAGGTCAGACATCTAAGTGGCACAGCTGGAAAATGGCCTTTGGCTCAAAAGCCTATGTTTCTTACCACTTTCTGCTTTTGAATAAATCAGGATTGACCAAATATTGAAAGTGGTGGTTATGTGTCTACTTTGAATGTCGTGGTTCTATAATTCTGTAATGATCAGTTACCCAAAATTTTTCAGAAAAAGTCGACATTCTAGACTATTTCTCTATTTTCATTCAAATTTTTAAAGACCCTAGACTGTCTTTAGCATATCCTTTAAAATCTTAAATGACTAAATTTTATTTTCTGTTTTATAGTTCATATGAGTCATTTCTAGACTTACTTAATTTATTATATTGTTTTGTAAGTGCCTCCTGTATGCCAGGCCTTGTCTGGATGCTTTCATGGATGCTATTCATTTAGTTCTTTTTGACAGTCATTGGAGGGAGAAGAGATCTTTAGTTACTTTATAAAAATCAAGTTTGTCCTTAATAGCTGATGTTGTGTGTAATGATATAGTAGCTTCTTCTTGAAAGCAGTCATTATAAGTATTCTTGGATTACTTTTTTAGGTTATCTAATGTATTTTTCAAAGATAGTAGGGCAGTAGCATTATTCTGGAGCTCTTCCAGCAAATTCGTATTTCAAACAAGAGACCTCCTGAACTAAATTAGATAGGCAGAGTAAGCAACCCTTAATAAAGAAAGGTACATGAATTAAAAAAAAAAAAAGGACAATACACACTTATTTGTAGGATGATGAAATTACAGCTGTACCATATTCTTCATTACTTAGAAACAAGTTTGGTCATTTTTAAGTACTTATTTCTGCTGCTGCCACTAAATGAGACATTAATGTTTGATAAGATTAGTTTTAATATGTTTCTTGGGTATCTATTTGAAATAGATTAAATTGTATTCTTTCCATAAAACTATTGAAGAGAAGTTCATTTTGTTTAGGAAAAAACACCATTCAGGGGCATAAATTTATATACTTCTTTGAAATATGAATGGAATAAAATATAATATTTATTGCAGGACTCTTGCTAAATTTTGAGGGTTGGTTTGTTTGTTTGTTTGTTTGAGTCTCAATTTAATAGCCGAGGCATAACTTCATTGTGGAATGTTAAATTGTTTATAACCATCATTCAGAAATCGGATAGCTATTTTAGGTAGTGTTAAAAGTAGTCACATTGAGTAGTAGAATACCCCAAATTACCATACATGTTACCTCAGTTTTCTTCTTTTTCCTTAATGGCTCAGTGGCACAGGAACAATTAAATTCTTAAGCCTTTCTTCCAAGAGTTGTTTTAAATTTATGGAATCATTGTTGATATTTTTAAAAAATCTCATTCCTTTCCCATCTTCCCTTTGGATTAAGTTAAAGATTATAAATGCTTAATATTAAAAGCTATTCAAGAAGTAAATATTTTATAGTGAAGCTGTTATGATAATGTAGTTATCATAAAGCTCCCTTAGTTGTGTTCTGATATGTATCAAA